AAACGAGCAAAGAAGGATGCGAAAACGCTGAATAAAAATAACGAAACGCCAAATTATGGTACTTATTTATCTGCGAAGCAAGAACATGCCGGGGGCGAGAAGCGCATCGCTGCAACAACAAAAACGCAGGAAAACGCTCAGAACTTTGCATCGTCCGAGCAAAACAATCCCGGTCAGGCAGTTGTGATGGATGCCTATCGCATGCGACGAATGTTCCAGTGCGACCCATCACAACTACCAGCCGAAGAAGCATTCTCCTTGTCACAGGGATCCGGTGAGATAGTGCTGCATGCCTCTAGATCACTTCCTGAAGATGTCGAATCTGTGCTTTGCAAGTCTGCGGTTTCCGGCAATAAGGCAGTAGCAAGGGGACCTCAAAAATCAAAAGAAACTACTACAGAAAATGTGATTCTTGTTGAAATACCTCCAAAATTCAGGAAGGCGGCGGAAAGGCGCGAAAGAGACATCCAGGTAGACCAGGAGCTTCAGGAACCATTAAAAAATCCTTCATTATCTCAACAAAATCGTTACACGGAGCATGTTCAAGTTGAAGAACGGCCGCTGGACTCCGTCTGGAAAGGACGAATTGAAACGGAACAACCTGCGCTAGCTCCAAAACTATCGACTCCGGAATCATCCAATTCCACTTGGGAGCAGCCAGCAGATCAAGCACCGGAAGAACAGGCATGGCTTCTCGAGCAGCTCTCGACCAGTTCACCGTACCATCCGTCAACCTCAAACAACGGAGAGGCATCATCAGTCCATAGTGGCGAAGAAATTCGAACCGTTGAGCTACATGCGGCGGAACAAGAGGCTGAATACGAGGTCCCACCTGGAACGGCATATTTGAAAAAGATTTCTCTGCCGAGCGAACGGAACTATGATACCGGAAATCCGGGCACCGCAAAATTTGAAAGGCAAAATGTTCTGACCGCTAAATTCGTTCCGAAATCTCGTACAGCCCAGAATCTTGACCACTGGTCCAGTGAAAGTGATGACGGCGAAAGTGATGCGTATCACAAATTATCGGAAGTAGAAGATAATGCGGAAGAAACTTTCAGACTGGATGCTACACTGCACGGACCGGAATTTTTTGGAGCAAATCCCGAAACCTCTGGAAGCTATAAAAATAGTGATTTTGAGATGAACAACCATTTACGAACTTCCACCCATTCGAGGGAATTTTTGGGTGAAAGCGAGGGAGCGTTCTACCAGCGATTACAGGAGTCTCCCGCAACATCAAATTCATTAAGCATGAATTCCACTTCTGATGAACTTACACCGCCACAGCTTGTTAATTCCACATCTAATGATGATCTAAAATAAATATCCGTAGTTCTGGTTTATAACATCTTTCTCATACTTAATATGCTGCTTGTTTTTTTTTTTGGTTAGCCTCTAAAATTTAACGAAAAACTAGATTTCGTGCAGTGTCTTGTCAGATGAAAGTTGAAGGCAATCCTTCATACCACTGCGCTATAAACAAAAACATACGGATGCGAAACGTAGCTGCTAACGAAAGGAGTAAAGTGAATGCTGGTTGAGATCCTGAATAGTGGGCTGATAGAGGAGAGGCGTACAGAATATCACTCGAACAGTGGAACTTTATCATTTTGACTGGGTATTGTAAAAATGTAGAATTTATCACTGAAAAAAAAATCAAGAGAAGTAAACTGATTTTTTTCGCCCTTCGCAGTCATCAAAGCTACCAGAAATGTCTCGGGAAACAGGGATTTCAATTATCAGAAGCACTTCCAATCTCAAGTGTGTGGGACCCTCAAAAACATCAACACGCATTTCGCACTTCAATCGTCTAAGCCGTAATAGTAAAGATAAAATAACTCAGGCACGTGATCCACGATCGAATAGCTGAGCTCAACAACTGGATCGCAAGCAACAGATCCAACCTATACTAGGACACTGTAACATTTTTGGTTGAAAATAAGGCAGTTGGATTCTTTTACCAAAAATTCTGCTTTGGTTAAGTTTCTGGAATGGTAGTAATTGCTTCTCGGCAATAAAATAAACACCACAGTAACTAACGGTGCAGATTACTTCGGACACATACTCATATACTTCGGACACGTACTCAAATTCTATATTTTCCAATTTATGCCCAGAATGTGACGGCGTGCTGATGTAGGTGCACAGAGCTAGAGACAAGTGTGATGGAAAAGTCGCCAGCTGCAACAAAAGGAATATGTCAGTAGCAGTTCAATGTACCAAGGCACACTCGAGCAGCGAGCAAGAAACGTAAGCAAACTCAGATCGTCAGCATTCATTGTGGTGATGTAGTTTCTTGCTGACAGCTAATGATTTCGAAAAAAACTTTCGAAAGAACTATGGAAAAGATAAGAAAATTTAAAAAAAAAAAAAATAGTGAAAAAAGTGGAAAAGGGCAAAATTAACTCGAGGAGAACTTTAAGCGGCAGAAAAGTGAAGAACCGTGACAGATATATAGTGCTTTGTCCAAGCGCGCCTCCAGCATGGCTGGCACTGACTTTTTGTTTTTGCATTTGCTTTTATTCCGAAGAAAGCAAGAACGAAGAGAAATAAACAGCGGCGCATACCAGGATAGCAGGCGCGATCATACCTTTTGCGCATTTCCGCCCAGCGAATATTTACTGCTAAGAATTTTTACTGTTTTACATTTTGGTGCACGCGAAAATATTCGATGTGTTATTTGCTCCCTAAGCTGCGATATTTCCTACTAAACTCGTCTCGGTACGTGAAACATATGTGAAAGCTGAATTTGAAACATCTGGATGAGGAACACTGTCCGAGAATTACAGTTCCCTAATTTCCTGGCTTCCAAGTTCAAAAGTTTCGCATTAAAACTTCCGCGTGGTCGTATGTAAAACCTAAACATACATGGGAGCTGAAATGGCGATTGTGAGGTCCCTGAATAGACAGAAAACATGGCCCTGAAATCTCAGCCTTCTAGTTTTTCTGTTTTCCAAGTTAGCAAACTTTGTCGCCAAGACTTTCGCGCGTCACGCGTGAGACCTAGGCGTATGTGGAAGCTGAAACGATTTCGAGGGGTCGTCCGTGGGTGGAGGGAATTCCTCTCAAGCTTCAGCTTCCTAGCTTATATGACTCTCGAAATAAAACTTTTGCGGGCCGTATGTAAGAATCAGACGTAGCTGAAAACTGAATTTAAACCCGACTGGTCGCAAGCGTGCAGGGGACATTTTCCCAAAAATTCAGCTTCCTAGCTTTACTAGTTCTTGAGTTTAAAATGTGGGACAAAACGCATTC